GGACAGGGCTCTGGGCAGGGCAGGACTCTGGGCAGGGCTCTCTGGGCAGGGCAGGGCAGGACTCTGAGCAGGACAGGGCTCTGGGCAAGGCTCTGGGCAGGGCTCTGGGCAGGACAGGGCTCTGAGCAGGACTCAGGACAGGGCTCTGGGCAGGGCTCTGAGCAGGACAGGACAAGGCTCTGAGCAGGGCAGGGCTCTGGACAGGGCTCTGGGCAGGGCAGGACTCTGGGCAGGACAGGACGGGGCTCTGGACAGGGCTCTGGGCAGGACAGGACAGGACTCTGAGCTCTCCATGCCCCCGCAGATGCAGCAGATGTACGACATGATCATGAAGCACAAACGGGCCATGCAGGAGATGCAGCTGATGTGGGAAAAGGCCATCCAGCAGCACCAGCACGGCTACGACAGCGACGAGGAGGTGGACAGCGAGCTGGGCACCTGGGAGCACCAGCTGAGGCGCATGGAGATGGACAAGACACGAGGTGGGTGGGTCAGGGCCCTCCCCGGGGAGATCCCCCCCTTCCCACGGCACGAGCGGGAGCTGCAGGGTCGCCTTTCCCCGGGTGGGGGTGACAGATGTCCATCCCTGTGCTCCACAGCCCCCCTGAGACCCCAAAGGACGCCCTGCTATCCCTGTTTCCTCTCTCTCTCTTGGCAGAGTGGGCCGAGCAGCTGACCCAGATGGGCAGAGGGAAACATTTCATCGGGGATTTCCTCCCGCCCGACGAGCTGGAGAAGTTCATGGAGACCTTCAAGGCGCTGAAGGTGACGCAGCAGAGACTTCCTGGGGTGGTGGCAGCGCTTCCAAGGCCAGGTTGGAGAAGGGAAGGCTCCAGGGAGACCTTGGAGCCCCTTCCAGCACCTGAAGGGACTCTGGGAGGGCTGCAGAGGGACGTGGGACAAGGGTCTGGAGAGCCCCAGAGGACAAGATTAGGTGGGATAGTGGGAAGAAATCCTTCCCTGTGAGGGTGGGGAGGCCCTGGAATGGATTTCCCAGAGGATTCCCCATCCCTGGAAGTGTCCAAGGCCAGGTTGGAGCACCCCTGCTCCAGTGGGAGGTGCCCCTGCCCCTGGCAGGAGGTGGAACTGGGTGGGCTTTGAGGTCCCTTCCGACCCAAACCGTTCCACGATCCGACAGTTTTTGGGGGTCTCTGGAATTCCAGGCAAGAGCTCTCAGACCACCCTCCTGCAGTTCCTGTTTGGGATAAGTGGCTGCTGATGCCAAGCCAAGGGAAATTTGAATTTTTATCCAGATGATTGCAGCAAAGTGGAAAACACAAAGCCTGCAAAGAGCTTATGCAAAGCACTCCAGCACCTGCCAATTCTTCCCAAAGGCCAGAACTCCTCGATGCTGGCACATCCCTCCCTGTTCCCCTGCATCCAGCGTGGGGCCTGATGTTCCCTGGGGGGCTCAGGCTTAAATAAGAACCGGATCTGCAACTTGATACTTAAAATTCAGGAGCTAATTGTTCCCCAGCCTGATATCCCAGCAGGGCCTGATTCCCTCCCCTGTGCTGCTGCAGAGGAGGAATCCCGGGGGTTATTGGCCAGAACCAGCCCGGCTTTGGGTGCCTGGAGCTGCTTTTCCCCCCCCCAGAGTGGGAAATGACCCCAGGAAAGCTGAGGCTCCCTGTGTGCCCCTGCAGGAGGGCCGGGAGCCGGATTACTCGGAGTACAAGGAGTTCAAGCTGACCGTGGAGAACATCGGCTACCAGATGCTCATGAAGATGGGCTGGAAGGAAGGAGAGGGGCTGGGATCAGAGGGGCAGGGCATCAAGAACCCTGTCAGCAAGTAAGCACAGCTCTGCTCTGCTCTGCTCTCCTCTCCTGTCCCTTCCCTCCTTCCCTGCCAGGACTGGGGTCGGTGCTCCTGCCCTGGGATGCATCACGTGGGATTCTTGGGCACAGGAGGGAATTCCTGCTTTTTTCTGGGCTCTCTTTCCCCCCACCCAACCTGGCTTTGCTGCTGGAGCTGTGGGCTGTGTTCCCCACCCCAGCCTGCACAGGGAGGTGCCTCCCTCAGCTGGAAAGACAATGGAATATCTTCTGTAAAGATAACCCTTGTCTACACCTCCCCTCCCTCCAGGGTTGAGTCTTTAAAGGCATAACTTTCTCAAAGCATCAAAGAGCAGTGGCAGACCCAGCCAGAGCTGTGTGTGAGGGGTCTCAGCCCAGCTCAGAGCTCTGTGGGGTCCTCACAAGCCTTGACGTGGCTCTTTGTGCCCAGAAATGTCCTGGTTTGATCACACTCTGTGTGTTGCACAGCTCTGGGAGTGGCAGGGTGTCCCTTTTTGGGTGGAATCACCTGTTGGTGGCCTATGTTGGGCTTCAAAGCTGAACACTGGGGAGGGGGAACACTCCTCCAGTTGGTTTTTAGGGATGGATCCCGGTGGGAAGAAGTTCCCTGTTTGCTGCACGGCAGGAAATGTCTGTGCAAAGCTCTGGGGACGTGGTTGTTGGTTCAGAGGTGTTGCCTGGGGTAAAAGGTGGGAAAAGCCAGGCTCAGATTCCCGGAGGGAAGGCAGGACGTGGCCGTGGACCGTGTCAGAATTGCTGGGGAGGGAAGGGATGGATCCCACTGGAGTGACAGAGCAGGAGGCAGGAGCGTGGCTTCCCCATCCCTGCCCCTCCAGGGAGGGAGGTGTTCCTGCTCCTGCTCCCCTGTGGGCATTCCTGCTTCCCTGTGACAGCAGGAGAGACCTCCTGGATCTGGGAAGGGGATCCGGGAATGCGGCAGCGCCCGGAGCGGCTCCGTGTGGGCTGAACCCCCCGGCAGCAGGATGAGTTCCACAGCAGCAGGATGAATCCCACAGCAGCAGGCTGCTCCTGGGGGAAGGAGCTCTCTCCCACCTGCTTCCCTCCCTTCCCTCTTCCCCCCCAGGGGAACCACGGCCGTGGATGGGGCTGGATTCGGGATCGACCGCCCTGCGGAGCTCACCAAGGAGGACGACGAGTACGAGGCCTTCCGCAAGAGGATGATGTTGGCCTATCGCTTCAGACCCAACCCCCTGGTGAGGGGGCACCCACACAGGGCTGGGGGAGAGCCAGGGGCTGCCAGGGACCAGGACAGGGCTGGGAGAGAGCCAGGGGCTGCCAGGGACCAGGGGCAGGGCTGGGAGAGAGCCAGGGGCTACCAGGGACCAGGGACAGGGCTGGGAGAGAGCAGGGATAGGGCTGGGATAGGGCCAGGGACGAGGGAGAGACCAAGAACAGGACTGGGAGAGACCAGGGGTGAGGGAGAGATCCAGGGGTGAGGCAGAGACCAGGGACAGGGCTGGGAGAGAGCCAGGGGCTGCCAGGGACCAGGAACAGGGCTGGGAGAGAGCAGGGACAGGGCTGGGAGAGAGCCAGGGGTGAGGGAGAGACCAACCAGGAACAGGGCTGGGAGAGATCCAGGGGCAGGGAGAGACCAAGAACAGGACAGGAATAGGGACAGATCCACTGGTGGGGGAGAGGGCAGGGAACAGAGAAAGGGCAGGGAACAGAGAAAGGACAGGGAGAGATCCACTGGTGAGGGAGGGTCCCAAAATCAGGGCAGGGGCAGGGACAGGGACACCTCAAAAGCTGTAATTTTGGGGCAACCCTCAGGTTTGCAGTGCAGAAATGACACGTTTTCAGCGGCTTTTTTGGGGGCAGTCGAGCTCAGCTGCTGGGCAAAATCCCCCAGTGGTGATGGTTTTTCTCCTCCTCCTTCCCCCACAGAACAACCCACGGCGACCCTATTACTGAGGAGGCTCCAGGGCCGGGGGCTGGGAGAGGAGTTTTGCTCCCTGACTGTGAAATGTTGCGGAACCGCTTCGTCCCTCCCTCCTTTCCCGGTATTGTCCCAACTCCCCGAGGCCACAGCACCTCCTCCATCCCAGGGGAAAGGCCTGGGAGCCCTCCCAGGTGCCCCCAGGGGGGCAGGGACGGGGGTTTTCGGGGAGGGAACCTCCAAGGGCAGCACCAAAGATCCCCCAGGGAGGAGTTCAGGGCACTCCCCCTCCGTGCTCCCGCCTTCCAAGGAGCATGGGGTGCTTTTTTTGGGATAACAGCTGGTCTTTCATTGTCCAGACCCGAAGCTTGTGCTGCTCTGGGGTTGGTTTTTTTTTGTTTTTTTCCCCCCTGGATTTTATGTTTAAATTTCCCACCCAAGGGACTGTGTCCCCCCCGCCCAGAGCAGGGTCAGGGCGTTGTTCTGACGGTGCCAGAGGTCTGACCTCCAGCTGACATTGCACCCCAGTGCCTCTGTTTGCCCTCTGCATGGGGTGGATGGTGGATTCCAGGATTTTAAAGGGGGTGCAGGGCGAGTTCCCTCCACCCCAGGGGTCCCACCCCCCTCGTTTTCTGAGCACTACGTTCCCCTCCCTCCCTGGCACAACCAGAGACTTGCCAACAACACCCCTCCCGTGCTCTGGAGGGGGAGGAAGAAGGAACCAAACCCTCAACCACAGTTTGTCAGAGGCCATTATTTGGGGTTTTGTTGTCGTTTAAAAACAAAAACACAAAAAAAACCAAAACGAACCTTTGGTCGAGTCTGTAAATAAAATAAAACTTGTTTGTTCCTTACTTTTTAATGGGAGGATTTTCGGGAAGAGAGGGGCTCCTGTGGGTTTTCTCGGGTCAGGAGGTTCCTCTGGAGCTCTTTCTTCCAAGGATTTTGGGGAAAACCAGCTTGAAGGGGTTGATTTGGTTCCTTCCCTGAACACTTTGGGGGGTGATTCTGTTTGACTTCCCTCGACGACCTCGAGTCCAGGACTTGGCTCTCAATAAAAACACCCCAAGTGGTCCATTCAGTGGGTTCAGGGGGGTTTTATTCAGAGAGAATCCAAGGTGTGGGAGCCTGGAGCTGGGCCTGGTGCTGTTCCAGTCAGGAATTTGGGAAGGTTGGGAAATCCAGGTGGGAAATCTGCCAGGGATTGAGGTCGCTGTGCCAGCCTGGGGGGGCTGGGACACCCCTCTGCCCTGTCCCCTCCCTATTCCTGCCTGGCACAAGCTGTTTTTCCAGGGTGACCAGAGGCTGGAGCTGCCCAGGGCTCTCCTGTGCTTTCTGTGGGAGCCTGGAGGTGTTTGCAGAACCATTCCAAGTGTCCTCAGCACAGCAGGATTCTGGCACCGGGGGCGGGGAATCGCCGGGAATTCCTGCTGTTCCCGGTGGGCATTTAAAGCTGACTGGACACTTCAGCCAGCCCCGTGTATCCCACGGATGTCCCGCTGGCAAAACTGGTTTGATTCCTTTATTTCCCCAGCCTTGGCCCCCCCTGAGCCCCCTCTCCCCATCCCTGCAGGGAGGGTTCAGTGTTTGGGAGGAGCTGAAGGGCACTGCAGCAAAACACCTCCAGTCGCTCACTTTGACCCCTTTTCTCATCGTTGTGCTGCCTTTTTGTGCCTTTTCCCTGCACAGCCGGGTGGTTCCTTCAGCCCGAGCCCCGAGTCCGACCCCCCTCCGCTCCCGGGCGCGTTCCCTGCTGGAATTCCCGGGTCATTCCCCTCTCCCTGCGCCGTTCCAGCTCCTCCCCGGGGGAACCGGGACCGAGCCCGGGGCAAAGTGCAGGTTCAGCCCCCGGCCTGGGGGCACGAGGGCGCAGCAGTGACCCGGTGACACGTTCGGTGACAGTTTTATGAGGGAGGGGAAAGGTTGAGCGGC